CCAAACACTGTGCAGAAACGGGCCGGGTCGGTCTGAAGTGGGTTCAGTAACGGGTCTGGCTGCTGACAGGTCCTGTGGTCTGCTGCTTTCAATTAATGGTTGGGTGGCAGGGCCAATGCTGTGTTTTAATGCCTTCCTAACGTGTCAGACTGTGTGGCTCGAGGAACAGACTTTATGGATTGTAAAAAAATTAGTCTTAACAATTCAGTCAACAATTTCGAATAGTGTGCCATTTAATATTAAAAAATTGACCGACACGGCACTCGAAATCTCTCAGTCTGAATAAAGAATCCACGTGCAAGATTTGTCATAATTAAGCCGCACAACCTTTAACGTTATGTAGTACATTTACTATTGCACATGCGTTTATTCGAATTTTTAAAACCTAGACCCATATTGCTTGATGAGCCAGCACACAACATTAATTATTTGTACCACAAAATCTCAAAGTAAAGATTGAGTAGATATTAACCAATGGTTAATACCCACACAATATTAAATGCTTGCTTCATTTGAAGCTCTCTTCTGCCCCGATATATACCCACACGATGTGTTGCACAAGAACACCCAAACCAAGCGATTCACAAATTCAAATAAATGGCAAGTTCATCTACACTCACATGGATGTGGTCTATGATCAAGGACATTGGATTAATACTGTTGATACAAATACAGTTGATTTTTTTAAACAGGATTGTGTAAGCCTAATGATAATAACCTTTGTTAATTTTATGCTTAAAATTGTTCAGAAATGTTAATTAGTGATTTACAATTATCTTTTGCAGGTTACATTTATTCTAACAAAAACAGGGATACCTAAGATTGCTTCAGCCCAGCATAAAGAAGAGAGGGATTATTTAAAAGTAAGTGTTTTACTATACTTCTTACTTCAGTGTAATAAGCATGTGTGTGTTTGTGTGTGTATAATATTTCAGGAAAAAAAACAGGTTTATTCCATATGTTATCATACCTGCCATTGAAACTGCGCAATCTTCAAACCTGCATATGCTATATATTTTAATCTAATTAATAATTACATTTTCCTCATGAATATTACATAATTCGCAACATTAATAAGGTCTGAAAACCTATTAATGATACATTTTCCATACGATAACCTAATAACTAAAAGTAAGAAAAAGACATCAAGCTTGGCCAGCGAAAACTGCAAGAATGATGTTGAATAAGATTCCAGAATATGAAAATATTAATTGCAGTATGACTAAATATTTAGTTTTATGTGAATCCAAACGAGTTTATATGTTCAGTGTTAAACTCATGATGCTAATTATGTGATTACAAACGGATATGTCAAAAGACTACATGTTAAAAATATGCATTCATGTTTAAAAGTACATTCACAATGTGTTTAGAATTCAGAGCATTGCTTTCACAGTAGAGTAATTGACTTTATTCAGTTTAAAGCAAACTCATCTAACAATAGAAAAGTCCGGGAAAAAAACTTTAAACAGTTTAAAGCAAACTCATTTAACAATAGAAAAGTCCAAATATTTATATCTTTTTACTAAAACATTTTATAATGAATAAAAGTTCTTTTTTACATGTGCTCCTTAAAATCAGCCAAATGTTATGTGATGGTATTTAAAACAAAGTTAAGCTTTATGGAGATGACTCCTTAAGTTTCCTATAAGAAGAAAACAAAAATTGTTTTGTGTCTACATTCTTATCCCAGGCCGGACTGGAACAGTTTTCACATTCTGAATGTGGGCAAGTATCCCAAACGGAAGTGTATGCACAAAAGAACAAAACACATACAAAAGTAAGAAGTGACGACAATACAAAAACTCAAATTGATATGCAAGGGTAATGTCCAAATTACAAGACCACATCTTTGAGTTTCTTCTATATGCTCTCAGGCCACCCTCAACTGTTGCATTTACCAAGACCACATTCAGAGCATAGACATTCGGGATGAAGTGCAAAGTAGAGAATAAAATTTAAACAGTTTAAAGCAAATTTATTTAGGGATATAATTTAAAGACCAAGTATTTGTATGAGATTACATTTACACTTTATGTGGTATAAACTATACATGTTCAGTTTTAAATGGCCTTTTTTGAATAAATCATATAAGAAGTTACAAATTTTAAATTGTAGTTGGACTTTTCAAATCAGATTACGATCCTGGATATTGTAGATATGCATACATAGTGCATATTGTATTCATTTGTAACAAGAATAAGGAAGTCATACTCAGTTTAAATTGTGTTTATGAGGGGTTATAGTTTAATATGAATATGCAAGTAAATGTACTTGAACAAAATTTCAGCTTTCACTGATAGTATTCAAAAAGATTATTCACTTTGGTCTTTAAAAATACAAATTGAAAACTATTACTTCATAATCATACGTAGCAATCTGTAAATTACTTAGGTCTTTAAAATACACTCCCTATTTATTGAGATTTTAAAAATAAAATCATGGTTCACACAATATTTTACAGTACTAATTATGATCTAGATGAGCAATGATTCAAGCTGTAAATATGTTTAAATATGTATGACATCTTAGTACTGTTGATCTCATTGGATTGAGATAACAAAATAGTCATGCCATTAACATTATGCATATTTATATACCGACCCAAACTAAGCTATTTTCGGCATTGTCCATCAACAATGGTACACACATCTGATATTTTTTATAGATCTATGCACCAAAACGATAGATCTAATTACATTTTAGATATTCATCCCGTTATTGATATATAAGTACAGATTTACTCAACTACCTAAATCTGTACAATATATGATTTTTAATATAATCACATGAAATTGTACATGCCAAATATAATCACTAAAACAACAACGAAGATAAACAAATCTGAACACACAAACACATGCATATATATCACAATCGGGACAAGTGATTGGCATGTGAAAACTTTCAAAATCGTAGGATGGAAATGAAAGGGACAGAAGAGAAGGGGTACCTAGATAACGATAGGAGACTAAATCATTGTCTGAGATGCTTCAACCTTCTCTCAGACGCCGTCAACTTTGAGATGGTCCATTAACGGCCAATCCAACATCAAATAGCACTACCGACGGATTCAACCATCGGAGTAGAAACAAAGAATTTGAAACGGAGTTGGTCGGAATATTGCGAAGGCCAATCCACCGACCTGCGCTTTGAGTGATGAACGGAGGCTGTTTGAATGGGGTGTACGGATAGACTGAGACGGCTGAAGGCTAAAGCCACATTATATATGGCGTGTGGTTAGGTTTTGGTGATTTGGATTCATTGCTCAAAATTGATTGGGCTCAGAATAAGTGGTGTGGGCTTTAGAAAATGGCGAGTTCTTATACCTTATAATTTTAGTTCGTATTATTTAAATTTTAAACTTTACTATGATTATTTCATACATTTATATTCATATATATTCCATAAAATTACATACCCCAAATTGAGATAATAAAACTAATAAATTTTATTTACTAATTTATTACAACTTATAACATTATTTGTACACCTTGGTCCAAAAAAATATTATGTGTACACCTTGAATGAGATAAGTTGGGTATAATTACATTAATTCATTCTATTAACGGTATTAATTTTTCAAAACAGTTGTTGTTTTATGTTTTTTCATATCAAAACGGTTGGTTTATATTATCATGAATATATTAGTATACTTTTTATAATACTACCTCCGTCCCACTAACTTTGAGACAAGATGGAGTGACACTGTTATTAAGAAAAAAAAGTTTATGGAGTTGATATTGAATTGATAAAGAAATAATAAAGTAAAATGATTTAGAACCACATTAACTTTTCTAAATTTGGTATGAGACATTTATCGTCAGATTTTTCAAATAAGAAGAATGGGACAATCTTATTGTAACGAAGGGAGTATTTTTTATATTGAATCGAAAATTGTCATCCTATTGACGAGAAAAGGTAATGAACTTTGAAGTTAGTGAGACAAGCCGCTCTAATATCTTAGCCGATAAAACAAATGAAATTCGTCCTCACGGATGCCTATTCCTAATTACTACGTATAACTTTTTATATAACTTTTTTGGATAACTTTTTATATAACTTTTTATTATATATAACCTTAATTTTGCTTAAAATATATTTACACATTCAATTTATGTAGAACACTCTTTTACTTATAATGCTTATAAATAATAAAATATAATTGAGATTTGATTTTGTCCCGTGCATCGCACGGGTGAGAATCTAGTTATAACAACAAGCAAGTGTAGTGCAGCGGATGGGAAGGAATTTGAAAGGCTGGAGGCACGGGTTCGATTCCCTCAGGCGTCATTACTTTCGGGTTTTTTGCTATTTAGTGGGTCTGGACCGGGCTGGTTCCCGTGCGGGTGTACACGGTTCGCCGTGTATTTCCGGGTTTAGGCATATTAACGGTTTAGAGGTTAACCAGACTGGATAATTGGCCGGGTGGTCCGGTTCCGGGTCGTACTGCCCGGTCCGGTCCGGTTCTTTAAACACAGGTTTTAAACAATGGGGTGAGGAGTCCAATATCGATGTTAACATGTTTAATTTTTATGAATATATGATACTACGTATATCCAATATATTTCCATCATTTGCAATGGAGCCAAAGACTCGCTATTTTTTGGCTTGGGAATATGATGAAATAAAGCAAATTGGCTCATTAAACTGTCTGCGCTTCTTTGTTATGAAGCAGTAGTCAGTCCATGCAATTTTCGATGTGATTTTCACGATGGGTCATCCGGAAACAGTCTCTATGTGCTTTAGTATAGGGGTAAGACTGCGTACATCCGACCCCCCTTACCCCACCGTAGGTGGGAGCCTTTGCGGCATTGGGTAATGATAATGATGATGATATGATATATCCAATATATCGTTATTATGCATCTAAGAATATGAGGTTATGTGTATACACTCACAATAAATCCATCTTAGAATTTTAGCTATGTGGAGGACTTATAAGATTTTACATAATACATCTTTCAATTCAATATTTTCCTAATGGAATATGGCATAGGCTTGTTTTCAAAAGCTCGTGCCAAAATCTTCTGAGTCTCCAAAGCAAAGCCGCAAGCAAAAAGTAGAAGTTGCTGATGAACCTTCCCCCTGAAAGCATAAGAATTGCCCAGCGAGTGTCTCTCCTTGCCCCTCTTCTCCTGCCCTCTCTAGGTTCTTCACAATCTCTCATATCATGCATATTTGCACATCACTAAATCTTTTTGTTTTCTCTTTGTTATTTACTCAACAAATATAGGGCCTTTAGTAAAAAGTATTTGATTGAAATGGAAGAATAATCCCTTAGATTTTCTTAAAGGAAAAGCGCTTGGTGACATTAATTCTGGCCAAATCAATAAGTCAAAAGTTTTTATTCTGCTGAATAAGGCTGATGAAGATACATAACAGAACCAATAGTATCTTGGTATAAATGCTTATTTTTTGGTGTTCAAGATTTTTTATTTATCTTTGGGCCTTCAGGGGTGAGCAGGAAAATTGGTATTTCGAGATCAGGGCAGCGCCAAAGGGGATTGGTTGGGGTTTGTTTGGGCGATAAGATGAATTTGGGAGTGGTGAGACCGGCAATAGAAGGTTATGCTGATGCTGCAATTGAAGCTATAAAGTTTGGCCATGTTATTGCTGTCCCCACTGATACACTTTATGGCTTTGCTTGTGACGCTTGGTAAGTCCCATCCATTATTTCCCTTAAAGTTGACCCGTTTTTACTATTTCAATATAGCTCGTTAAATGAAATACTTGTCCTCCTGCATTGTCTTTCGTAAGTGTTGTTTCTTTGTGCAATCTGAACTGTGATTCTGTGCTGGAGTTCCATTCAGTTAACTTCATCTCTATCATTCACAGTGTGTCATATTTTATGTTTATTGTTAGGTGAAACTGCGCAAGAAAGAAATTTTGCTATTATTGAGAGGGTACGGTTTGAAGTCAATGGTGTAGGAATAGGGACACCCATTTTACTTGTCTATGTAAATTTATTTACTCCGTACCTTGAACAGTAAATGCTAAATTGGATAATTTAGGATTGTTTCTCTTTAAGTTTGGTACTGAATCCCAAAGCATATCTACTTCGCAGATTTCTATACACTCGCATGATTTCTTTTAACATTGTATGTTGTTATCGCAGTTCTGCCAAGGCAGTTAATCATATATATGAGATTAAAGGGCGCAAGTATACAAATCCACTTGCCATTTGTGTTGGGGATGTTCATGACATTCACAAGTATGCGTTCACTGATCATTTACCCAACGGCTTGCTTCACTCTCTCCTTCCTGGTCCTGTTACTCTTGTGCTAAGCCGAGGTTTGTGTCTTTTTCTGTTTAGGCTCTGTTCATTTCCAATACAATTTATTTCCTCGAGAACACATTTTGGTTTCCCTGTTTTAGAGACATGGAAAGCTTTTCTTGGGCGGATATTTCTTTGATATTGCGGAAAAAAATCGTGCTTTTGTGCAGTTTTTGGAAAAATAACTCACCTTATTCTTAAAACAGTTTTTACGTTTCTATTTTTATGTGCAAAACATACTTACATACATAGAAGTATAGAACAACATATTTTCCAAGAAAGCATATCCTGAATCCCAGGGAAACATTTTCCATGAAAAGATATTTTCCTGTAAACAAGCGGAGCCTTAGCTTAGGCATTGTAGCAGAAGGCATGGTACATGTACCCAAATATCAATTTTCTGAATTTATTTGCAGGTGAGTCAAGTATCCTTGAGAAATCTTTAAACCCTGGAGTTGAGAGCATAGGAGTTAGAGTACCAGATAATAACTTTATTAGGGTAATTGCCCGCTGTTCTGGAAGTGCACTTGCACTTACAAGCGCAAATCTTAGTGGTCAAGCTAGCAGCATCAAGATCAGAGACTTTGAGAACCTCTGGGGGCACTGCGCGTATATCTTTGATGGTGGTGTTCTTCCAGCTAGGCGTGCAGGTTCCACCGTGGTGGATCTCACTAAACAAGGAAAGTACAAGATATTACGATCTGGAAGGTAAGCATGCAAACTTGGCTTTGTTTAAGGCTCCGTTTGTTTCCACGAAAATATGTTTAGAAAGAATGACCAAAATAGCTTTTCAAGAAAATATGACAACCTTCAAATATTTCTTAAAAAACTGACTAAATAATCTTAAAGGGAAAGTTCCCGAAATGGGACTAAAAAAGATTGAAAATTCCAAAATAGGACTGTCATGTTTTTATTCCCAAAATAGGACTAATCACTGCCAAATTTGGAAAATACTGCCATGTTTGAAGTCTGGTACTGCCAAAACATGACAGTAATTAGTCCTATTTACGAAAAAAAAACACGGAAGTCTTATTTTGGAATTTCCAAACTTTTTTAGTCCCATTTTGGGTAATATCTCAATCTTAAACCATAATAACCTTCAAACTGACTAAATAATGACCAAAATAGCTTTTCTCTTATTATCCTCCCCGCCTCCGTTCGGACTCTTGCCAGAAACATACCAACAAAATCAATGGGAAAATCCATCACAAAAAGTTGCTAGAAAAAGATTGTTGCAAGGTCACCGGAAACTGCAGGTCATAGTGACATACTGACATGTGAGGCGGTATCACCACAATCAACTTTTTAAAAAATTTGAAAAGCAATCAAATTTTTGTTATTCTTTTCTGTCCAAACGCCATATATTTATCTTGAAAAGGTTTTCTCGACATTCATGGGTTTGGTACGGAAAGACATTTTTCTTGAGTAAAATATTTGAATGGTTTTTTGTAACTTCTATGGAAAACCTCTCTTTCTAGAATAGGGCTTCATGTTCCTCATACATTTTGATTTGTTTTCTTGTTTTTGTGCGTTAGATGTTATATTTGTACATAAATGACTTCTTTGTTAGTTAAAAGCTATTTAAGGAAAACAATTTTCCATTTATGGCCCAAATATAACCTATAAGGTTTTAATAGGCAAAAATATGACTTCTTTTAGACTTCACAAAAAAGTGACCATATCCTTCTTTCCCGATCCAGATCTACACAACTCGCCTCTCCTGCGCCATCCGTCTCCCCTACGCCATCCGTCTCCCCTGCGCCATAGCTCATCCATCATCGTCTCCATCCGTATCCTCGTCGCCCAAACCTCTCTCTCAAAAGCCGGTTATGACAGCTCCACCTCCAGATCGGTTATCTCCACAGCTCCAAACAACATCCTTCGACAAAGATGCGCCGAAGATGACATCTCCACCTCCAGATCGTCAGTCTGAATCACCACCATCCCTAGTCCGTCGCATCTGGTTTCAACCGTCCTTGAACGCCGCAGTCGTCGTCGTCATCGCCGTGGCCCCTGCTTCTATTTCTTTTCAATCTGTTCGATTTTGGGGGCTTCTTCGTCGTTTTTATCGGTTAAAATTTCAGGTCTGGGATGGGATGTTCGGAATCTAAATCAGTGGAGTTTGTGGCTAGGTTACTGGTGGACGTTGTGGGATGGCGGTTGGGGGCTAGGGCTGGGAATTGTCGATTGGGTTTGGGGGCTGAGGGCAGGGGCAGGGGCAGGTCCAGTGGTGTGGGGCAGGGCTGATGGGGATGGGGCAGGGCTTGTGGGGCTGGGTTGGGGTGTTGCGGCGGTGACTGGGTGTTATGGTGGTGGCCGGAATGTTGCGGTGGTGGCCGGAATGTTGCGGTGGTGGCCGGAATGTTGCGGTGGTAGCTGTAGGTGGCCAGAGTTTATCGAGGTGGAGGTAATGGGCGGTGCCGTCGGCGGTGACTGTGACCTGCGGCGGTGGCCACAGTGCGGCGGCGGCTACGGTGACGCGAGCGGTGGCTATAGTGACACAGGCAGTGGCGGCTTTAGTGACACGTGCGGTGGCTACAGTGACACATGTAGTGGCTACAGTGACACGAGCGGCGGCTACAGTGACACGAGCGACGGCCACAGTGACACGAGTGGCGGCTACAGTGGCAAGGAGGGTGGATGTCACTGTGTCTTGTGTCACTGTAGCAGTGTGTATATAAGCAAGCTTGTCACTTATTAGTCACATTTCAGGAATTTTTTAAAAAGATCATTTTTTTTGCTTTTTGCCCTTTTATTAGTAATATTCAAGACAAAAACCCAAAAAATTTTGCCACATTCCTATTAAAGCAACTAATTTATGGTTCTGCACATTTCTCTCTCCTCTGCACAAATCTCAACCACATAGTTTTTACTATTCTTATTTCTCACCTGCTATGCACTTGACAAAGTCTACCGGGATGGAGGTAGTATATTATACCAATATATAATTATATATATATAATTATATATTACTAACTAAATTGTATATAACTTAGAACTGAAATCCACAATTAATAATTGAAAACAAGGTTTACTAATGGGAATTAAGATTAAAAATGTCAGTCTCAAATAAGCACTGAAAAGATCAAACTATTAAGTTCTCAAATAGCATCAAAGACTAAATCACCAGATTCATCTCTATGCCCTTCATTACCCTGATCATCATCATCACGAGTAGGAGTATGTGGTGCTTGACCATTAGTCATTTTCAACATCTTCATCATCATTTGGAAAATCGTCTTCTTCTTGTTCATGTCTTCGTCAATTAACCTTAATGAAGAAGTCAAATCATGGTGTCGATAATAGACCAATTCTCCACGAGAGCTAGAAGTTCTAGGAAGATTACGACCCTCAAGATTGCTTGATGGACCTGCAACTTCATCAACTTGACTTCATAAAAGATCATTACTGCGATGAGCAACATCGTTGCTGACCCATTCATTGTCCCATTGGCCATTTAAACTCTTCAAATATTAACGAGTTGAAGCTCGTTTCTTGTTCAAACCGCTTTTGAAATCTAGTTGCTATCCTCCGATTATATTGAATAAAAATCAAGTCATTTAACCACTTATGTTCCAACGTGCTTCTTCTTTTTGTATGAATCTATCATTTCATTTTCATTTTCATTTACCCCAGTGCCGCAAAGGCTTCCCACCTATGGTGGGGTAGGGGGGGGGGGGTTGGATGTACGCAGTCTTACCCCTGTACAAGCACATAAAAATTGTTTCCGGATGACCCGTAGTGAAAATCGCGTCCAAAATTGCATGGACTGACTGATGCTTCATAACAAAGAAGTGCAGACAGTTAGTGAGCCATTTTGCTTTATTCCATCATATTCTCAAGCCAAAAAATAATGAATCTTTTTATATGAATCTAAAAAAAATAAAAATATATTTGATTGGTATTATGATTTAATCAGTCAAAATCCTCCTTTGTAGTTTGTAATTGTAGTTGGTACTCAAATATTACTACTTACAAACTCAAAAGTGCTCCAATTATACTCACATCTAGAAGAGGTACAACAGAGACTAACAATGTGTTTTGCGAATGATTGCAGTTCAGTCGTGAGTCCACCAATAACATCCCATCAATAAATTATAAATTAGTCACAATAAAATATTAGTTACATTTTAATATGTTTACTTTTTTAAATATAATAACAATATCACTTCAATTGACTCTTAGTTTTTTGTTGCTTGACAAGTTGCTTTTGCAAAACTTCCTCACAATTTGTCGTAATTTGTTTTTTGATGACTTATCTTGGTTTGTAGTGTTTCACTAGTGACCAACTTTTCAAGCACGTCTTTAAACATCATTCGTTGCCCTGATGCAGATGCTGAATTTGTCTGTTTGAGATCGAAATATTTAGGATTGAAAAACAAAGCTGCCCCTTATACTTTGACCTCCATTTAGACTTCTCAAAATTCTAGGCTTGTTTTGAATTGACTCACTGAATTTTTTCTTGTAATAATCCATGGCTATTGGAAGCTCTGGCATAGTCAGGTTTTCATCGACATTTACTATCCTCGGGACAACTAGAAGTGCTTGTGAAGCTCTTATGCAATCTTCCATTGCACTCCAGAATCTAGTAGATAATACAATATCACTTACCTTCTTTCCTGCTTCTGTGGCAACCAATTTAGATCTACTCCAACTTCTTCGATTTTTCTCCCAAGCAAACCTGCTAACAATCTTGCATCTTGAAATTTATTTGATGCATCAATTGAGTCTAAAAAAAGTGCCTTCTGGACAAGGAAATTAATCAGGTGTCGCTAGATTCGGCCAGACCATCCATCGGACATAAGTGTGCGTTCGTATTCGTTCCAAGCAACCTCATGTTTCTCTCATACTGTCTCTGTCTTTGCTTTCTGAAGAAGTGGTACACGCAAGTTATGATAATTAGGAGGCTTAAGTCTTGGTACTGCCCAATTGACTCCGCCATGATCTCATAGCTCCTGGGGTTTGCTGCATTGCAAGGAATGCCGTTACCATTAAAAAATCAGCTATGTGCACGATGACCCTCTCTTTATCCTCCTTTCTTTTTGTACATTGTGATAATGTACTTTGCGTGGGGCCTTTCACATGTCTTTCATCAACAACCTCCCTCAGGAGTTTTGCGAATGAGGGAGGAAATTGACTTTTTTTTGTTTTGGCATTTTTTATGGAGCATTAAAGAATTGTGAAGAAACATTATATTTGTGACTAATTTATACTTGATTGGTAGATTGCTTTTGGTGGACTCACTGTTGAACTGCAATCATTCGCAAAACACATAATTGGTCTCTGTTGTACCTCTTATGCCTGTGAGCTTAATTGGAGTACTTTTGAGTTTATAAGTAGTAGTACTACAATTACAAATTACATAAGATTTGACTAATTAAATTACAATACTAATCAAACATACACTTTTTTAGATTCATACAAAAAAAGCAGGTTGGAGCATGAAAGGTTGAATGACTGTTTTTATTCAGTATAATTGGAGGATAGCAACTAGGTTTCAGATGTGGTGTGAACAAGGAACGAGCTTTAACCTGTTAATATTTGAAGGGTTCCAATGGGACAATGAATGGGTTAGCAATGATGTTGTTCATCTCGATGATTATCATTTATGGAGTCAAGTTGATGAAGCTGCAGGTGTACCAAGCAATCTTGAGGGTCATAATCTTCCTAGAATTGGTAAATCTCGCGGAGAACAAATTTATTATAGACTCCGTGGTTCAAATTCTTCATTAAGGTTGATTGACGAAGATATGAAAAAAAGAAGATAATTTTCTAAATGATAATGAAGATCTTTTAGACGACTATGGCCAAACACCATCTAGGCATCTACTCCTACTCGTGATGATGATGAGGGCGATGAATATCGTAAAGATGATTTAGTCTTTGATGATTTTTGAGAACTTAGTAGTCTTTACAATGCTTATTTGAGAGACATTTTTAATCTTATTTCCTATTAATAAACCTGGTTTTCATTTATTAATTGTGGGTTTCAAATCTAAGTTGTATACTGTTAGAACTTTTATTGTGGGTCAAGTTTGTCTGTAATGTCTTGTTTAAATAAAGTAGACTAGTTATACCATTTATGGTATTAGATTAGTATTTATTATGTAGCAAATAAGGTAAAGGGAATAAGGCCCAAAAAGGCCTTGGCCCAACTTCCAAGGTTTACCTAAATCGGTAACCTGTACAGCGCCTATAAATACGCGCCTTGTGTACAGGTACCGATATCGATCAATACACATTAGCCTTACGCTGCCAAATTTACTTCTCGATACTACAGAAAGAAGGTTTCACTGTTCTCGATAAATCTTATATCATTATATGAAATCCTTCTCTTCTGTCTATCGATGATGTTCATCTAGCTGATCGTTAGTCTGCTAAACTGGGACCAACAACTGGTATCAGAGCCTGCTCGAGTGTGATCGCCGAAGAAAAAGTTTTCGAAGTCCTCTGTTTTCTTCTTTTCGATATTGTACCCTTTTAATCGCTGTAATCTCATTTTTGAACGAAAAAGTGTAAAAGATGTACTGCTGAAATCGCCTCTCAAAACGAGCAAGCAGTATATCCTAGATTTTCGAACAGTTTAAGTTTCAGATTTGAGGTTCTCGATATTCTGATATCGAAAAGCAGGTTTCTCGAGGCTTCTACAAGTGTTTCAGTCTTCAAACTGCACAAAGAGATTCTCGAGATCAAGGACTTTATCGAAAAGCTGTTTTATTCTAGTTTAAAATTGATTTTTGATTTGCAGGATTTCGACACTGACTTCTCGACATAAGTTCTCGATTAGAGTTCTCGAACTTCTGTTCTCGATACTCAGTTTTCGATATTAAAATCTCGATATCTTGTTTTCGCATTTGCAGGTTCTCGATACGGCTTTTCGACATTCAGTTCTCGAACCTAAGTTTTCGAACTTAAAGTTCTCGATACTGACTTTTCGAAAGCTGCTTCTCGAACCTAGCTTCTCGATAGCAAGGTTTTTGATATCAAAATAACGAAAACTGCTTCTCGATAGAAGTTCTCGACCCCCCTTCTCGAACTTATTCCTGAAAATTAGGTTTTCGACATTCTACAGTTAAAAACTTAATTTTATCTGATCAAAACACTCGAACGATCTTTTTCAAAATCAACAACTACAAAGATGGATGCTTTATCACTTGGTAATGACAGTAGGCCCCCAATTCTGAGGAGAGGTGAATACCAGATGTGGAGAACAAGATTCTTAAATTTTCTAGAAAGTAAAGATAACTCTTCCGCTATGCTGGAATCCCTCACCCAAGGACCTGCTGAGATTTGGGCAAGTGTGAATGGCGTTGATGCAAACAACCCACCTGTTAATCAAGAACGAAGATTGAAGACAAAGGCTGAGTACACTGAAGAGGATAGACAGAGAATCAAAGCTGATCTTATGGCAAAGACATTCCTGCTACAAGCAATCCCAAATGACATCTACATTCTGATTGATAGCATGGAGACTGCTAAAGAAATGTGGGATGAAGTAAAAAAGCTGATGATGGGAACTGATCTTGGACTGAAGACGAAGAAAGCAAACATCTTAACTGCTTATGATGCGTTCAAGGCGGCACCAGGGGAGGCGCTCCATGAAACGTATAACAGATTTGTACAACTGATCAACGAGATGAGGAAGATCAAGGTTGTGAAATCAAACATGGAGATGAATATACGTTTCTTGTCGAGCCTGCCCCCTGAGTGGAAAAGAACTGTAAAGAACCTGAGACAACACTTGGACTTAGATGAACTAGATCTCTGCACACTTCATGAGCATCTTCAGCAGTTTGTGAATGACACTGCTGAGATGGAAGGAAGCTTTTCTGCTAATCCTTTAGCACTCATGATTGAAGCTAAACCAAAGAGTTCATCTAAGGTTCAGAAGAAGAAGAAGGCAGTTAAGGTGGAGACAGAAGAAGAAGACAGTGAAGAAGAAGTGGATGTTGAATCTGAATTGGCTGATCTGCAGAAAAAGATGGCTCTGCTCACCAATCAGTTCAACAAGAAATTCTCTAGGAAGGGAAACTCATCCAACAAGCTGCGAACCTCCTCTGCCAATTACAAAACAAAGAACAATGATCAGAACTCTTCCAGTAGAGCTATTGCAGCAGAAGATCCCCCCAAATGCTTCAACTGTGGAAAGGCTGGACACGTTATCAAAGACTGTCGCCTACCAAGAAAAAGGGACTTCAACTATTACAAGCAGAAGATGCTGTGGAACAAACAGAAAATGTTCATGGCTAAACAAGATGATGATAGTGCTGCAACACTTACTGAGAATGACCCGTGGCAGGAGGAGAGTTCAGATGAAGAAGAAGAGGAGAATCTGGCCCTGATGGCGCTTGTAGAAGAAGAAGAAAAGGAAAAGGGTGATGCTGCGATCCCCGGAGGAAGTACAAGCTCAAGCTCAAACATCACTGTAAGTAACTCTGAAACCGTCTGTTCCTGCTCTTGTAAAGTTCACTCTTCACAAGTCAAAGACAATCTAATTATGGAGCTAAGAGACAAGGGAAACATCAACCATAAATATTTAATTGACAGTCTAGATAAAGTCAGATCTCTGAGCATACAGTTAGAAAATGAAAAAGAAATTGTCAAGAAGCGAACTTTAGAATTAGATCAACTCACCCAAAAGGTAGCTCTACTAACAAGGAAAGTTTCTGAGACTGAATTAGAACGAAACGTTGCAAAAGCCGAAAATGATTTTCTACATGAAAAAAGGTGTACTCTTTACACAAAAATCAAAGAATTAGAAGATCTACTTGCCAAGAGAGGACAAACAGAACAAACCATTTTTCTCAATCAGAACAAAGACACTCGCTTTTATAACTCTAAGGAGGGTCTTGGTCTTACTAACCCCAATAATCTGAAGAAAGTGGATTGTATTCAACTTTATGACATAAATTATATGGGGTTAGGGTTGACTAAGTTGATGGCTTTTACCTATGGAAAAGAAACGGCAGAAGAAGAAGAGGTAAAGCGATCAAACCCTTCCAGAACAGAAATTCCTTTCAACTATGACTCTCTGAATAAAAGTTATGAAAATGCTGAACCTGTTTTCTCAACTGATGAGAGTGTGAGTCCTTATCCTTCTGAGAAGGAAGCTGTGTCGGATCCAGAAACCCCTTCAACCTCAGGGTCAAATGAAGAAGAACCTTACATCCCTCCACTAATTAGAAAATTCGAAAATTTACATATCTCTTTGGAAAAACAAAGAAAAAGTTTTGAAGAAGAAAGAAAAAGCTTTGAAAGTGAGAGGGAGAGGTTATTAAGAGAACTGACCTCTTTAAAGGAAAGCTCTCAATCTGACACAACTTCCCAGTCAGCTAGTGATACAACTGATTCTCAAGAAAATCTTCACAAAACTAATGTTTTCAAAAGATCGACCACTCACTCCACGACTCCCTTGAAAACAGGAAATACCGTGAGTAGGAGACTGGAAAGGAGAAGAGAATGGAGGTTGAAGAGAGAAGAGATAGCTGAAGGAAAGAAGAAAATGTTTTCTGAACATGAAAAACCCTGTTCTAGCGCTTTGTTTTACTCGAATAATAGTAGATCTAGATTTCAGTCACAACCATGTAGTTCCAATTCAGTCTTGTGTCCCAAGCTGAATCCATCTGAATTTCCTTCTAATCAATTTTATTTCAATAATAAGTTGTATGCTCCTGGACTTGAAAATGATAGTGTTGATGTTTCTAATTTTGAATGTGCCATGAATTCTGTTCGTAAGGATCAACGGAGAGAACGCAAACAAAAGAAACAATCTGAGAATAGATCTGTAGAGGGAGTTTATAATTTTCCAAATTTAAAGTACCCTCTTAAGGTTCATTCAAAGAAACACTTACACCGTCTCTCTAAAGAAGAAATTCTCAAACCTTACCTCACGAACCAGCCATTCACACACAAAGACAATAACTCTGTCTCCTCTGCTCCTAAAATCAAACAAAAATGGATACCAAAAGCTGAACTTGAAAAGCAAAGAACATTATCTGAAAAGGCTGTTGACCTTGGATCACAGCTGAAAGAAAAATTCAAAAAGATTTTCTCAATTGATAAGGAAGGACCCATCCTGCGGTGGGTACCTAAAAATCCTTAATCTGTTTTGCAGAACGGTCATGTGTGGCATTTAGATTCTGGCTGCTCAACCCACATGACCGGAATAAAGGACCTGTTGAGCAACTACACCAAATGTGTTGGTCCCGTTTAATATGGTAATCAGTCTAGAGGGGGGGGGGGGTGAATAGACTGATTGGTTTTTCAACTTTTTCTCAAAGTCAAAACTGACTTATCAGAGAAGGTCTGATTCTGATGACAGAGAAAGGCTGGTTCTGATATCAGAACTGGCCTTGGCAGCGGATTCTGATCTGTCCGGGTAGCCTCAGAAAAATACTAAGGCAGATGCCTTTCTGATAACTCTGAGAACAAGATCTGCTGAACACAGATTCCAAGTCTTAGAGTTAATCAGTTAATATCCTAAGTGCAGAAATATAAATTGCAGTAAAGTAAATGACACCGGATATTTTATAGTGGTTCAAGGAACAACACGTTCCTCTAGTCCACTGTTCCACTAGCTTTGAAGTAGATCGGTTACAAAGCTAAATCCTAGCACTTAAGAAGTTCTCCACGCCTTCTTCAAGTCTAGCTGCCACCCAGGATGCAGTTCCACGTCCTGATGGCTGATCCTTTCACTCAGCTTCCCGGAAGTATCACCACTTCACTACTGCAGTTACTTGGACGCCCTTCTTTTCAGAAGATCCTTTGAAAAACAGAGTTTTTCCTCCAACTAGCTTCGTCACAAATGATGTTTGAAGAAGTTCTTGAAGTGTTGAAGAACAGGATGAACTTTGCTTGTTTGTTGGGGATGAGAGATTTTGGAGTTTGAATCTTCCCAACGTAAGCTTGTCTTGTTGAAGGTTGTAGAATTTGAATCTCAAGAGAGCTTGAATGATGAGCAAAGTTGTAGCAAAAGTTGTTTTCCAGTTCTTCGGAAAGTAGCTTATAT